GTCAGTTTGATTTCATATTTTTCTAAAATTATATATATATATATGTAAATTAAAAAGTCCTTCCGAAGCGGGCAACGGGATTTCGATTCCGGCGACCGACAGCTTCTTACGGGCGACCCCCAAACATTCAAACTCTCTTCCCCCCCTTTTTTTTTAAGTGCCGACAATGCTTTATGTGTAAAACAATAAAGTTTGGGTTGGAAATATGTAAATTGCTATATTTTGTGTGCTATATATGTAAATCCCTTCTTATTTTCAATCCTATATTTATAGATTTGCATTTCAAGCCACAACTTTTATTCTAATCTCAAAAATGAAAATCTAAAAAAGAAAGGAAAAACTATCCAACGTTTTACCCATCTACAACCACCATGATACTTTCTTTTCTTACCCTCAGGTTAAACTAAGCGATTTCAGTATAAAATTTGACCCAAAAAAAATAGACAGAAATCACGATTGGCATAAACCAAGCAAAGGTATTTCATGAATACGGGTAACTAACTTGCACAAAGTGAAAAAATCTAGTCAACTTCCATTGCAGAGAGTGATTCCCTCAAAATTTCACTTAGCTCCTCCACTCTGAGCCTTGCAAGCGCAATGCAATCCTGCAACAAACAATGACGATAACCAGCGTTACAAAATTTTCAGTAAAGCACAAAATCTTTTGTTCTGTTGAACATGCAGAGAAGTAAATATTTCAGCTAAAAGTCACAGTAATAATATAGAATTTCATTCGCATTTTATTTGCCTTCCATTCCGAGAATGTTCATCAAACTTAATTTACAATATAAAATATGTCCTTATTTTGAAAGATCGCCAACTTATCAGGCAATCCTCTCGTCAATCAAAACTTGAAGTGAGCCAAGGCTAATATAAATTATAACAATCAATATGCATCCCAGTGCAAAAGAAAAAACAATAACATAGTTCGAATTAACCAATTATTCAGCTTGTTAAAAATAGTGGATTGTTTCAAAGGTTGTGAAAATCGAGAAAATGTTGCTTTCGAAGTCCTGACGCAAGCAGCATCCGGACAACGGACGCAATACACCGGGTGAGGGATTTTTTTTCTCTTCCGCTCCTCCAGTGAGTCGCATCCGTTGTCCGGATGCAATATTTTTTCGTAAAAATCGGTCTGAATATCAAACCTAAAGAAGAAAATGTTTACAGTTCGATGGTTCAATTGGGGTTGAACTGGAGCATGAATTGAATGCTATAATAAATATTCAAATTATTTTAATATAAATTAAATAATAATATATTAATATTATTTAGATGATTTAATAAATAATATTTTAATTTAAAATAATACTTTTGAATATTTTGAATAATTTTATAAATTAAAAAATTTAAGGCATGATATTTTTCAATTTTTAATTTAAATATCTTATTTATGACCATCTGATCAAAATCAAATTATTAAAATTGGGCAATATTTGAATTGATCAGTTCTTTAAAAATTGAACCGACTCACTGATTCATCGGTTCAACCTCAATTCTGACCGGTTCAATCATGATTATATGCAGCAATGGTTTTAAGCTTGGACTTAACCGGTTGAATGACCGATTCACAGTTAAACCGGCCGTTCCGGTCCAATTTAAAACCATGATTGTTTCAATCAAGTGCATAATGGACTTACTAATGGAATAAGCTAATGAAATAGCATTCACCCATGCTCCTTATTTTCCAAGACATTAGCAATGATGATGTGAATCTAGCCCATCATGTGTGTGACTTCTAAGAGATACATAACAAGACTCCCAACCTTATCCTATTCTATCCTTCACTCGATGGCACATCCCCAACTGAAGTTTGCACATTTATAGCCTTGAAAGTGTTGTCAAAAACTCTAACACACCTTAAATTTGATGAAATCTTGGTATAGCCTAAAAAACTACATAATTCATGAATGAACTCTAAAGCCCATACCAAAGACTTTCAGCTCCAAGTTACAGTGGGTTTGACCAAAACCATTTTCTCATATAGGCCCGTCTTCAAAAAATTCCAAAATGAGATTCTTTTCAAAGTCTCAAGCAAGGTTTTGGTCGTTAAGAAATTAGCCAGGACCAAAGCCCTAAGTGAACTTCATAATTAAATCAACACGAAGAAGTCATCACTAAGGCGCTAGCCCAGGCAACATCACCCTAAGTACTTCTTAACTGATTCCGAGCAAAGCTATGATCGTCGAGACAATATCCTAATTCCAAGGAAAGGCCTTATCTATACACCTTTAATACTAAGAAGAAACAAGATAAACAAGATGGTTATGGCTGCCAAGTTATAAACACAGACATTGCACCAGTTCAGCTCATTTATTCCTCCACAATTGAACCTCCTAAAAACAAAATCGCAAGTCAGATGCCTTGAAGTCCCATCAAAAGTAGCAAAAGTGAGTTTGACCAAGACCGCCTTCCCTCAAAAACAACCAAGGATGGCGTAGCACCCTATTGAGAGTGGTCGAAGAGAGTTCATGGTGCTTCAAAGGGCCACAAATGGGACAACCTAATATGACATTAAAAAGTGATTTAAAATAATTATCTAATTAAAGGAATTCTTAACCATGCAAACCCTTAGTGTTCGTACATCAAGTTACTTCGCATAATTCTCCGTGCATGTATTCATACATGTTCTCTAGATGTGATCTAAAGCATTATCTGAAGTCATTCTTGGGCTCCTAGAAGGTGTTAGGGAAGCGGGTTTGAAAGGCAGGTAGTGGAGGAATAGTAAGGAAATAAAAAAATGGGCATTCAGTGATATTTGGAGAGGGATAAACGACGTTTGACGGCTGTCCCAGTTGAAAACAGCAAGGCAGATGACGAAACGGCACAGTGCAGAGGTCAAGGAGGTTCACCACATGTTCCTCCACAAGCTACAGACAAACCACTTATATAAGAAAAAAAATACAGCACTCCTTGGGGTAGAAATCAAAGAGGCAATCTCCAAATAACATATACAGAACAAAAATCTGAAAAAAAAAATTAATAATAATAAGATATAAATAGTTCCCCATAGAAAATAATCTAATTAGAATATGAAAATAAGAAAGAAATCAAAAAAGAAAAAAAAATATACGAATAATTAAAAGTCGGCAGCCCTTTTTGGAACTGCAGACCACGAAATCCAATGAAAACAGGTTTGCGAGATTGCGGGAGTAAAGCTCCCGTGTCATTCTCCCGACTAGGAGAGGCTTCTTCTTCTCTAGGACTTAAATTCGGATTCTTTTTCATAAAATATCTAATCAGATTTTCAAAATTATGATTCATCATTCCTAGTTGGTCATCTGTTTAGGACAATAGTGTTGAACTAAACCGGAATTTAAATTACTTTTTTATTTAACTCCAAAAAAGTTTTCTAGAAATAGCTCAAAAACATGTCATTTATATTAGAACTAAAGCTCATGGGTAGACAATAAAGAAGAACTACTTCCTCGAAGCAGAAGCCTACAATGTGTGACGTGCCCTTTATCTTGTGTCAGAGAACAAATCTTGTGGCAGGGAACAAAGTATGCTATTTACGAGAAATGATCGGCCACAACCATAACAAAATCATTATCTTATTGTGTCTGAGGCAAATCCACTATAAAATTTATCCTTGTGTCCATTCTAGACAGCTTTAAAACACGTCATTTTAAAGTCTATTTAGATAAAATAAATAGTCATCATTTTTTGGCACAATAAGAGTTAGAGCTGCATCTGGCTAGCATTCTCACGAAACAAGCCTCTAACCATCCAGAGTGTAATATATTTTTGCAATTCTTCATACTCGGCTAGTTGCATTCCAAGGGCAAATTGGTTTGGTAGATAAAAATCCTTAAATGGGATTTATGACATGTTGAATCTCATTCGATAATGGTCACCCAGAAGACAGACTGTCAGTTAGGACATCCAACAACTCTCTCAACAGAAGCTACCCCTTTTCTAGTATCAGTTCCTCGGGCTCACTCTCATCTAGAACAACTAATGTTAGTTCTGTTGGAATCTCTCTACTAAGTCAACTCGAATCACTAGCATCTCACTATCATTGGCTGGAAGTTAATATTACTCTGCATCTTCATTCTCCCATAAGTCACTATCCATTTCTTCAACTATTCCCTGCTCACTGAATGAAATCATCTTTTTGCTTGGGCAATCTGATGCAATGTGCCCCAAAATCATGGCACTTAAAGCACTTCTTGACTAGAATGAATTTGGGAGTGTTGGTGAGCTCCACATTTTCTCCTCTCTGGATTGATTTCTCTTCGAACGGGGTCAGCTTGGATGCTCCAATGGGTGTGCTCTTGTTGCATATCTTGGGTTGAACTCTATCTGTAAAGTATAACGATCACCTGGTTTCTCCACCTTTAAAGCTACGGTTTGTACATCTAATGAGGACCAATACGGTTGTTGCTACACCACATTACTAAAAAATAACCTTAGCCCTCCAAGATACCTTGCTAGTATGTGCTCCTCTGGTTCCACTAACTTATATTTCAACGTGAGTTGATCAAATTCAATTGTGCACTCCTCCACAGAAGAATCTCTCTAACACAAGTGATATAATTCTATGAACATATCCTTTTGATAATATGGGAAAAGATATTTATGTTGCATCCCTCTAATAATCTATAGATCATGTAGTGATTTTACTCTTCTCACTCTCGAATATGTTTCAAACTCTTTCATCATAAAGACGCATTGTTATTAAGTTTGATGGTTACCAATTTAACTTTCTTGTCCTGGGGAATGTCTTTTTACTTAACAATTTGTTTCACTATTTGAATCCACTTGATAAACTCGTTCGGATACATGTGGCAGTCAAAATCTACTAAATTTAATCTTCAAGCCAACAACCTAGCTTCTATGTTGATACTCAATGTCCAATTAACACAACATTTTTTGTTCATCGCTTGAAGCTTCTTGGTGGAAGGGATTCACTCTCTTCATGGTATAAGCCACTGTTGTGGTTATTAGTGACACATCGGATTTTCTCCTCTCAAAGGTGGCAATTCTTTATTGCAATTAGAAGATTCGAGCTGCATATCCTTCATAATAAGTTGTTGAACACCATGCTAAAGATTCCACCTTGCAGTAAAGCGACTTTTTCTCCCAATCAGATTTTCAACGAATGTAAGACTGCAAATCAAAGGTTGTTCGGGGCTTAGATTTTGGTGATAGGTGTCAAGGTAGATTTATGGTAAATATAGAAATGTTGGATTTTGAAAATTTAGAGTTAGAGCTAGAAATTATGATAGGAATGATTTTGGTAAAGTGATAATTTCTTTTAAAATGTGGATTCGGACAAGAAAAAAAACCCTAAACAATTTAGGGCTTGTCAGGCTCTAATACCAATGGAACTGTTCCAGGGCTCACAGGTGTCTGGGAAATGGGATTGATGGGGAGGTGGTGGTGGACGAATAGCAAGGGAATGAAAATATGAGTGATGGGAAATATTAGAAGGGGGATACACGACGTTTGGCAGCTATCGCGGCAGAAACGGTGAGGCAGACGATGAAACGATGAGGTATTATGGCTAAGGAAGTTCACCATATATTCCTGCAAAAGCTAAAGACGCACCACTTCGGATAAGAATATAACACTCATTATGATAGAGATTAGAAATACATTCTCCAAATAACACAAACAAAGCCAAAAAGTCCAGAAAAGAAAGAAATAATAAGTTAAATAGTTCCCCCATAGAAAATTACATAATTAGAAATTAAAAAAATAGAAAAGAAATGAGAAAAGAAAAAAATGTGAATAATTGAAAGTTAAAGCCCTGTTCAGAACCCGCAATTACAGGGTTGTCTACGATCCCGCGGAACCCACGAATCCTGCAGAAACAGGATCACGAGATCCCAGCAGTAATTTTCTTGCACCATTAACGGTCCCGCGTCATGCTCCCATCCGAATCCAACATGCACTCTCATGCAAACTCTCGTGCATTATTTAGCTATACATGTTATATAGTCCTTATGTGCTTGCAAGCGAGGACACATCTCTCGCACTTTCATATGGTTGTGCGTGCCACTTATGGCTATCATTAACCCTATTCGGGTGACAACGAACCGACTCATTTTCTTCTTCAGCCTTTGCTCGCCTTAATGAATGATATTTTTTTCTCGTATCTAAATATGTTCCATTCGTCTTCCCACTAGTGTCATCAAAGCACAAAATCCAATGCAATGCACAAGGCATTATTTTTGCTTCAAAGAGCAAAACGATAACAAAATGGTGCGTTCATCACCCAAAGCATTAAAAGGTTATACATAATTATTAATGAATAAATTCATTAACAATTATAAAATATAAAGTATGACTTATAGTTGATATAAAATAGAAAAAAATATGGTACAATATATAACCTAAAGGCAAATATTGAGGTTAAACCTACAAATTAAAATTTTAAACACTTTTTAATAGTTTGTTGCAATAATTTAAAACTTAAATTTTTTTAAAAAAACCTGCATATTACTTTGATTCATCAAAGCGCGCCTCAACAAATGAAATGGGTATCACGCAACTTCGCTTTGCTCACGAAATGAGCTCTTAAAGACATTGCTCTCCATTTATTATGGGTTGCTTGCTTGCTCTCAATTTTTAATCAAAGGTCTCCCTCCGTGGAGGTTACTTAAGTTTCAATTATTCCACTTTTGTTGCCCCCAACTTTGATTGTTCCAATCATCTTTGAAATTCCTTTGCCATTGGCTCCTAAAGTTTAGGTGGTCCTCTCTAATTCACCTGTCACCCCTACTCTACATACTCTTAACCATTTTCAAGGTTCATTAACCTTTTGTTTATAGCTCTCGCTCATTTGCTAATGAGGTGGGTGGTTTGTTGAGAGCCATATCCATACAATCCTCTCTACTCCTTCAAGCTAAAGATTCTCATGCTCACAAGCCTATATCCTCCTTTCATGACAAACCTTTGCTTCATTGGGCAAACATATCCGAACTTGCTCAACAATTAACTTTCACAATTGTCGAAAAGTTCTGCTTGGCTTGTCCTAACATGGATATCATTCACAAATTTGTCTAATTTGCAATTGCTTAGTTAAATTTTAGTTGAAGTCTACATCATTGTGCTATTATTAGATTTTCTTTGGAGAAAGACGACATATTTTTTCTCATCCGACAAAAATGTGGAAGTGATTTTACCATTTGATGCCTCTGAGGAACTATCGATGAGCCCTGTTTGACTGATTTTTTCCTACGTTATGTATTCATTATCTTAATCAACTTTATAATTGTTATATAAGATGGGATATCAATTAAGATTTTTGAAACACTCTAGGAGTTGTCACTCACCGTCATTAATCCTATCGCACTTATTTGGAATCTGCATTATGAATCCTCCTTTTATCAATCATTCATGTTGAGTGTTATCTAAGGTATTAAATTTAAGTTTTACAACTCATTTTGAAAACTTCTATCCATGAAATTTTAAGCCTATCTCTATTTTTTTCCCTAATCCTTCGACACCATTTTTACTCTAAAAGTAGCAGTAAACAAAAAATATTGCTAATGAAACCATGTAAACTAAGTTCGATAGTTCATATATTCTACAGATAATATATAACTTTCTAGCAAAAAAATAAAATCTCTTTCTTCAATTTATTATTACAAGATTCTACTTCTTCATTTAAATATCTTCCTTGACCCGCTATTTATCATTAAGATTGAATTATGCCTTTTTTTCTGCTGGAGAAAACATTGTCAAATGAGCCTTCAAGTGAATTATATGCAATTATATTAATGAAACAGCCAATTGTACTTTCACAAAGATGAACAAACTTAAATTTAACATACAGTGACCCTCAAATAATTCTTGAACTTCTCGCTGTGGAGTTAAGCCTTTTAAGTAAAAACATTTAAAACAAATTCTATGATTCATTTAGGTAATTACATACATAGCACCCAAAACTTTGTTATTTAAAAAATTAGCGCCCTCTTTCTTCCATTTCCAAATTCTCACTCAAATATCAAAATCCAAAATAAAACACCAACCCATATTTTTTAGTTTTATCAAATTCCCAATGGTTTAATCGGATAGTTAAAAAAATGACCTGGGTGCTAGTTTTGTAAAAAACAAAATTTCAAGTGCTATGCATAAAACTTAAAAATCAATAAACTTGGAAAATACATGACAACAAACCTTCACAACAGAAGCATGCAAAAGGATTGCTCCACCAGCTTTGTATAATGACACCAATCTCTCTTTTGAATCTAACACCACTGTAACGTGGGTGTCCATTACAGATTCTTCTTCTGAAGTGGGGTCCGCCAAAATATACTTACCATGGACTATGCATGTTAGTGAGAACGGTACAATTGCAATAGTGAGCTTTCTATTTTCTTTATTAATCGGCTCTACTGCTTTGATTTTCAGTTCTTCAGACACAGTAATCACTTTTCCATCATCATTTAATGAAACTAACGGAATCTGCACTGCAGGTTAAAAAAAGTTTCCAGGATGTTTAAAACATAGTATAAAAAGTTCTGAAGAGCTCAGATCAACAAAGAGATTACAGATTTTGGCAGCTTTGTGATTAGAGTAGCAAAATAATAATAGCTCCATTAAAACAGATGCCCAGTTTTTAAAAACATTAACAAAGTCTAATATTATAGATAAAGTTACGAAAATTTGAACTGTATGTGTAAAATGTGACTGCAATTCAGCTGTATTGAGTCTTAGTTTTTTCATTTTTGTTTCCTCATTTGGTTTCCTCATTTTAAGTGTAAACATATGCCTAAAAAGATGCCTCCTACATGAACTAAAAGAGTTCTCTAATATTTTGAATGACCATCAGGTTTACCACATTACTGCATACTTTCAACTTAACTAGACGAATTCCAATCAGAAGTTTCAGAGTTCGGAACCACTGACACAATGCTAATTGCTAATTAACCCTTGCATTTCTATAGTTCCTTTAAAAAAATAAATAAATAAATAATTAAAAAAAAAATAAACTGATTGTAATGATGGTCAACCATGGGCTGGCTCAAATTAACAAATCGAGCTAGAAATTTTGAATATTGAATTGAAAATCATTAAACATATATCAAAGATCCTACTCAGCTTACTCAGAATACTTCTAGAATTTTAGCCCAACATAGCTTGGATACAAAAAATGGGCGGAAACGGGAGATCGTCGGCTTGGGATCACAAAGAATTTAGCATTTAGGGCGGAAACGGAATATCGAAACACTTGCATACCCTCCACAACAAGTATGCGTTCCTCGAAATAATGCTGATAAACTCGATGTCTGGTAGTGGACCAGCCATCCTCATAAAGTGTCTCTGCAGGGACTAGATTTGCACGTCTCCTCTGGGATATTTGTAATTGTTGCTCTGGATCTAGCTGACCCTCCAGAGTTCTTTGAAAAGATCGACGTCTTGGTAATCTTCGTTGAATCTCATAGGCTATTGTAGTCACGAATTTGGACATTTGAATTGGAAGTTGATGATGTAGAGGCAGAGTTTGTATTTCAAACTGAATGATTAGGAAGAAGTGTTGTGGAGGTACGAAAGGATGAATTTCTGGAGGTTGAGGCCATTTTATTGGTATTTTTGTTATTCTCTCAGAAAAACGGTTCTAGGATTCTGGTAAACAAATAATTGGCCTTTAGGAGGGGTTGTTTTAGTAGGTTTTGTAGGCTCACCAAAAGAAAGAGATTCAAGTTATTTTTGAAGAGCAGAGATTGAGGTTTCAACAGATCTTTCACCCTCAGGCACTTTCTTTTGGATTTCCTTTAACTTATCTTCTATATTAATAAGTCTGTCAGAGACTTTTAGAAGAAGTTGGATTAAAGTATTATTCTGCTTAATAATCGCACTTAAAGCAGAGGGCACGCTTTGACGTGCGTCAGAGGGATTAACAAAACCAAGGGCAAGAGGTTCTAAAGAATCAGTTGCAGAAAGAGCAAGTTTATAATCAGTAGAAGCAGATGATTGCTTCCAATCATTCATAAAGATTGAGCACAAGTTGGGAATATCAAATTGAAGTAGGTAGTATTCTGAGTTTGCTTTTCGGAAAGTTGATAAATTGTCTCGCTTGACTTGTCCATACCTTAAACTACCATCCTTATATATCTTAACTTTATAATTTTTAATCACAGATCTCAGTGTTTCAGTGTAATCTTAACTGATTTAATTCTCAGATGTATTCAGTTCTGTAATCTTAAGGATAAGTTCCTGAACTTTGCTAACAGATCCTTTTCAACCTTACGATTGCACGGTGCCCCTACAATTCTCGGGGATCTCGTCGTGTCACTCAGTTTTACTAACTGATCTGCTAGTTAGTAGCTTCTTACCCAAAAGCTCACAAAAATAAAATACATGAATGAAAACAAATTCATAAAATTAATATCAAAAAACTAAGATCATATGACAAGAATCATCAATCTAGATATATAAAAAGTAGCTAAATAGCATAAAAGAGCTCGGCAAATCAATATATCAAAGATTCTACTCAGCTTACTCTAAAAATAATGAAAAAGGGTCATCTGCATCACCATTTTCTTCATTGGGGGATTTATCACAAATTGTATCACCCTCATTATCTTCTTGGTCCCAGATATGGTCGTCTTCATATGCCATATAAGTTGCTTCATCCTCAGATCCCTCAATATCTTGAGAGGAATGTTGTGGAATAGGAGGTGACCCTATGGCAGTATAATCAGAGAAAGAGAGACGAATGGTACCATCTATTCTTTGATGCGTACGTATTTGATGAGGTACTTGAACACCAACAGATCCTAATTACACGAGCTCTTGTAGCTCAGTTGACTAATACAAGCATGTTGGTTAAGTTACAATGTACACGGTGTTGCGGATTAACTAGCTACTCATGGAATTATTGCAATTCCAGGACACAAACATTATGTTCAACAATTACAAGGGCTAGATTGGAACTTGAAGCCCTCTGATCATGTCGGTGTTCAAGTACCTCATCAAATACGTACGCATCAAAGAATAGACGGTACAATTCGTCTCTCTTTCTCTGATTATACTGCCATAGCGCCACCTCCTATTTCACAACATTCCTCTCAAGATATTGAGGGATCTGAAGAAGAAGCAGCTTATATGGCATATGAAGACGGCCCCATCTGGGACCAAGAAGATAATGAGGATGATACAATTTGGGATCAATCCCCCGATGAAGAAAATGGTGATGCTGATGACCCTTTCTCATTATTTTTATATGTGAATAATAATAATGAATTTCATTCATTCGCAGAAGTTGGTGGGAATGATACTCCTAAAAATTCTCAAAATCCTCCATCACTTGAATACCCACTAATAAAACCTCCTCAAATTCCTAAAACTCCACCATTCCATTCTCTTCCTAAACCTGAATCTTATGGCCGGTTTTATTGCAATGCAAAAGCAAGAAAGGAAATATGGCCAGAGCAGCTGGTTTCCTAAATATAGCCTGCTGAATATTAATATGTTGAATAAGCCAATACTCTCATAATTTAAAATTTCTAACCATGACCTCATACCTTGTTTCTCTTTTAGTCTTTCATTTGGAAAATCTGTGATTTTCCTTATAATATGTGGTTGAAGCTTAATCTTCCGTTTTCCAATCACAGCTCTAAGGAATTCTATCTCTGGTACAGCTATCTTCATCTTGGTTGGGGATAGCGCCAGTCATTCAGCTTCAACTATTGAAAGGAACTTTTCCAAGTGCTCTTGATGATCAGATTCATTTCTGCCGAAAATTATAATATTGTTTATATACACAGCCAAGAAATCAGTACAATTTTCAAAACATAAATTCATTTTCCCCTAAAAAATTGCGGGTGCATTCTTCAACCCGAATGACATAACTAACCATTCATATAATCTCGTAGGTGCAGTGAAAGCAGTCTATTTTATGGAGTCAGGATGCATAGTAACCTGATGGAATCCGCTTTTCAGGTCAAATTTTGAATAGACCTGACTACTGCTTATTTAAGTAAAGTGTTGATACCGGGCAGTGAGTATTGGTCCTTATGTGTGTTATCATTTAAAGACCTATAATTAAATATGAGGCATTCTTTTCCTCGTATTTCCTTGCCGGTTTTAGGTCAATGGACGTACCAGAGTTGACGATAATAATCATTGTCCTATGTCTGTTTTTGCTTGGTCGAATCACCTTCAATTCTAGCAGACTGTAAATGTGCCTTTTAAATTGGTCTTGCATTGCAGGTGTAACATGCTTCAATGGTTTATCCTGTATTGTAAGGTATGGATTAATAATTTCAATTTTGCATGTTACCTTGTTTTTGGCCCAATGCTTTTGTGGATTTTCTCCAATGTAACCATTGTTTTGCAACCTTTGGCATATTGATCTGAATTTTCTTACAAACAAATTTTCATCAGTGAGAATGTTAGTGTAAAAGAATTCAGGTTGTAATTCTGTGTAGAAGTCATAATCCATCTCTAGCTCCGGGATTTGTTTAGCTGCAACTTCCACATCAATCGTTGTTTGCACATGCGTGATTTCTTTATAAAATGTGACTGTATTTCCTTCAATTTTCATGCCACTATGCATGCTTCTGATGAAATTACAGCCCAATAGTATTTGAATACCATCATTTCAATTTTCATGCAATAAATAAGTGGTATTCTAAAGCTATGTTCCGATATATACATCTTACCATCCTTCATCTTTTTGCAGGAATTCGTGGTTAAATTCACTCTGCTGAAGGATACTTGGTAATTAAGGTCTTCCAGAACTTCTTTGGGAACAGCATCAATGCTGGCACAGCATGAAGTCGCACCTAAGTCCAGGATTGCCTGTGTCCAGGATTGCCTTTAATTTGAACCTTTATACTCCTGGAACTTCAAAGGTAATGATTAAATTGAAGAGATTATTAATAATCTTCTTCGGGGGCTTATGAACTTGTTCTTTAAGCGCTTCACTGAACATTTTTATTTTGTTTTCTTCTTCAATGAGTTGTTCTGGATTTTCATCATCTTCTTCAATTGTAACGATTATTTTTCCTTTGTCATGCAGGGTTAGCTCCTGCATATCTTCAGCAAGTTACTGCTCCAACTCCTGCTGACTGCTGAAGTCTTTCTTTAAGTCTTATGTTTTCTTCAAGCAGATATTCAGTATACTTCACAAGCTCATGGATTAAATTGTCTTTTGATTGAAATTGTAATAAAGACAATTATTTTTGTATTATGATCGTCAGATAGAATTTTGCACATGGCGGACATGTCGTTAGCTTGCAAATTGTACAATGTATTCTTATGTTTGCATTTGTAATAATGTAGCAGTATCGAGAATACTAACCTTTGATTGGCTTATTATGTTCCCATTGATCAAAACATGTTTCTTGTTCATCCTTTAGTTTAATTGAACATCGTCAGCCAAAGTCTTCCTTCATCATAAACCTGTATTCTTCAATAGGGTAATTTTCTAGCGCGTTGTGAATATGTGAGAGAATATTGGCTC